CTTATGTGATTCACATTTTTGGAATATATATAAAAACAGCTGGCGGAGATAAAATTTTCACGAACAAATTCAAAACATGAAAAAGCAATATTCAATGGAATTTTTTTTAACAAATTCAACATCTAATTCCTTCTTTCCTAATTAAATGTCATTTTTACTAAAAATAGATGTTCCTTAATATTCTCTTTATTCATATTTATAGGTCCATACTAAAGATATATATTCTTTAAATACTTGTCATTTCAATTTTCACAAAATCAATACATAAATAGCATTTTTCTTCCTATTTTATTATTGAGAGTTATTAGGCTTGAAAGTATAAATTTGATCTAATATAGAAAAACTAAATAATTAATTTATGTTTATTCGTCAATTTTATTAATTAAAATAAATTAATTTATATTCATTTATTGAAAAATTAATTTCAACTGAATACTAAATAAAGTTATATGATAAACCTACTTAATTTCTTAAAGAATGTGAAATTTAAAATAATGCTATATTACTATATAAGAAGAGGGAATAGCACACACCTCTGCATCGACACGTGTGCTTCCCTCAAATTGACCAAAAAAACATTCACACACAAGAGGAAAGTCCTCATTAATAGATCCATCCTAATTACCTAATCATAACCGTCCACGTGGCTTTCCTTTTCATTATTACAAACACAAATACACCCAATGAGTCCCACATATTATTCTAACCCTACAAAATACATCAAAAACATCAAATTATAATGTCCCCATTCACTCATTCCTCTTTGTCCTCTTTCATTACTTTACTACAATATCTGTATTAATATATTTATCTGATTTTTAGTCAGTCCCAAAAGAATGTCACATTCCTTGTTTTTCTTTTAATTTGTTCTATATTTAAAAATTACATAAAAACTACTTAAAATCACAATGTAATAATATAAGATATTAAAAACAACATAATTAAAAATCATAAAACAAATTTTATTGACTCTTTAATTCCATATTGAAACAAAAGAAGCTTGTTTCAAAATAACATTAAAAGTACTATAAATTCAAGTAAAATAACAACTAAAAATATTTAAGAATCATATAAGAAATTTAGTTGACTTTCGTAAAAGTACCTACATCGCATAAAATGGAACAGAAAGAGTAATATATATTATTTGAAAATGATATAAGAAGTGTTATAAATCACAATAAATTAGCAACTTCAAAATATATTTAACAAAATCACATACAAAAAATTATATAACTCTCCAAATTTCATCGGTGTCACATAAATTGAAACAAAGTACTCTCAATTTATGTGACTTACTTTCCTTTTTAGTCAGTCCCAAAAGAATGTCACATTTCTATATTAAGTAACAATTTCACTATAAAATGTTTATTTTACCCTTAATGAAATAATTTACAGTCATACAAATTTATATAATTCATTTTGGACCACAAGTTTTAAAAGTTTTCATTTATTTCTTAAATTCCGTAGCGAATCAAACTATCTCACATAAAATTAGACGGAGAAAGTAATATATATTGGGCCCGCGCTGGTGCCGGAACCTAATATCTAGTATAAATAGAAAGTGGAGTGTTGAATTTTGCTATTCCGATGTAGTCGGAGTTTCCAATTTGGCTACATAAACCAAATTCAAACTTGGTGTCCTTAATTAATTGGTCATTTTCTTTATAATTATCGATAGAATTTTTTGGATTTTATAAATTAAAAAAATAGTCTAAGTCAGTATTTTAATGATTAGTTGTCACAAATTTATATGATAGTGAGGATGCCACATCAGCAGACAGCAGTCTTTATCTATCAACTAGGAGTATGTAGTTTAAGTCAATATTTTATTATTTACGTCGTCACAAATTTATATGATATAGTTTTAAATTTTGAGAATTAAATAATAAATAAATTATTCTTTATATGTTATTTAAATTGTTAATTTTTTATTTGTAGTATTTCTTTTATGTAATTTTCGAAATATAAATTATTTATGAAAAACCTTAAAGATTGTATTTATATATTATGATCAGAATTTTTTTAAAAAAAATCTAAACTCTTGAAATATGAACTTTATTATATAAGTTAAGACGAAAAAAAATAATAGAATTAAAAATTTGTTTAGGTGAAATGGACTTTAAAATTTGCTAAAATAAATTCAAATTAATCAATCACAAAGTAAATGACAGATATTAAATTAAAAAATCAAGAAAAAAAATGAGACAATGATAGGACAGAGGGAGTAAAAATTTATGGCAGGCTAGCATTAATGGTTGTTCCAAGGACAAAGTTATTAGAGTGTGTCTGTTTTTCTATTCTTCTTTTAACTACTCCCTTCGTTTCTATTTAATATAAAGAGAAAAAAGATAAATATATCTTCAAACTATCGTAAATGATATACAGATACTCTTCGTCATATTTTTGGGACATTGGTATCTCTGCCGTCCAAAAACTAGAGCATATATGCCCTCCACTCTAACAGAAGACTAAATAGGGACATGTGGGACAATTTTATCCGTCGATTCGATATTTAATAAATATCAGGTGGGTGGATAAGATTATGACACGTGTATGTCTGTTAGTATAAATGGTATATATGCTTTAGTTTTTGGACGGCAAGGACGCCAATTTCCCCAAAAGTATGACAGAGAGTATATGCATATCATTTACAATAGTTTGGAGGTATATTTGTCCTTTTTCCCTTTAATAAATATGTTACTCCATCTGTCCAACAATAGTTATTCACTATTGACTTGGCACACCCCTTAAGAAATTATAAATAGAAGGATAATTTTACTATTTCACCCTTTGAATATAATAAATACAATGCCTTGAAAATAGATAAATGACTATAATTAATGATAAAGGTAAATTAGGAATTAAGTGTAAAATTATCCATGGATTTCATAAAGTGAACAAGTATTGTTGAACATCTATTTTTAGTATAGTGGACAAGTATTGTTGGATGGAGGGAGTATTATTTTAGAGTTCACGTGCATTAAGAAATCAAGCAAGTTTACTATTCCTTCCGTTCCTTTTTATATGTCACATTTTTAGATTACACTTGCATCAAGAAATTAAGTAATTTTACCCTTCTACCCTTATTTAATGTTTTCTTAAGTCAACTTTTCAATAGATGATGAATATGCTAAATTTCAAAATTTAAAATACATTTGGATGACTATTTAAAATTTTGAGTTTATTTTCAAAATCAGATTTTATAAAATAGTGAATGGAGAGATTAATTAATCAATGTATGAAGTACTCCAATGAATATTAATAACTTATTAGTTTTTCTAGGTTGGTCAAAGTATATATTTTCAAGACTAATTAACTACTTTATTAAGGGTATAATAGGAAGAATATGGTGATTTATGCATTAATTTTATGAAATGACAAATATTATGGTCCAATATTTTATAGAAAGGGATGATATATAAAAAGAAACGGAGGGAGTATTTCATCCTTATTTAATAGTTCTTCTGTCCCTAATCACTAGTCCACTTTTGAATTGACACACCTATTAAGAAAACAATAATTGACATAGTTAGTTTATCGTTTTATACCTATTAATTATGAAGTGGATTGGTTAAAAATTTACGATTTTCAAGAAGTTATACATTTTCTAAAATTAATTAATTGAGAGTATAATAGGTAGAAAAATTGTCCTTTCTGGATTTGTCAAAATGGACAAGTAAAAAAGAAAAATTGGACGAGTAACTAGGGACAAATGGAGTATTTTTTTGAAGTTAAGTTGTCAATCAATGAACATGAATTAATTTATTTTGATTAATTAATTTAACTAATAGACATAAATTATTTACTTAGTTTTTCTATGTTATAGTCAAATATATATTTTCAAGGCTAATAACTCACAAGGATAAAATAGGAGAAATAGTGTCATTTATGCATTGATTTTGTGACAAATAAAAATGAATATCTATTTTAGGAAAAAAATAACAAATAAAAGTGAATGAAGAATATATATTAGATACTATGGGTGAGTTCCAAAGTTTTGTTTTTTTTTAAAAAAAAAAAACTAAAATTAGGCTAAGAGTTAACAAGCATAAAAAAAATGCAAATAAGAAAGAAAAAGTAAAAGAAAGGATTAAAATTGGTTGAGAAAAAGTAAGGAAATGAAATAGGTAAAGTATGACCCCACAGTATACAAAAGGCAGCCAAAGAGATCACAATATAATAAAAAATGTCAAGCATAAATGCAACCACATACTCCTTCAGTCCTTCCACTTCCCACTAGTGGGTGATATTTTATCTGAAATTCAATCTCCTTATTGAAATTCAATTATTCTGAAATTTACATTGTATATGTCTCATTCAAAGAAGACGAATTTTAATTAAGGAAAAAGTAATTTCATTTATTGCATCGCAGGGGACATCTTTGAAGAGTCGGAACGATATAGCTTTCAATACACTCCATACATTTCACACACATTCATTCAACTTGTGTTTAAATTAAGAAACCTCAAATGCCTATACTCATATGGAGAGGATAGGATGTATGCCAGCTTTATTCATACCTTTGTGGATAAAGAGGAGGTTTACGTTAAATCTTAGCCTCTAAAAATCATTTTTCAGAAAGTTATAAGGAATAAAACAATACCAAATTAATATACTATTAAATGATTCAATAGACAAATAAAATAATACTTTCCAATTTTTCTGACACTTTTCGTTTTTCGAGAATCAAACAATTTAAATTTAACTAGAATTTGCGCATGAAATCTTCAAATTTTTTGAAATAAAAATTATCTAAATCCAATAGGTAACCACACAAATTGAAACGAAGAGAGTAGTACCAAATTTTATATCACGACTATTTCACTACAAACAAGTCTAGCTCTTGTTTGAGGAAAACAAAAATGTGATTTAGAGAACACAACAACATACCCCTGTGTACGAAGACCTTACCCCTCCCTACCTTAGGAGGTAGAGAGGTCGTCTCCGATAGACCCTCGAAAAAACACAATCAAAAAATGATGAAGAAGAAAAAGAAATCATGAAAAGCAACCAAAATCTTCAATTGATATAAAGCAAGTTTTACAAATTTCCAGACTGACTTTATTCCCACAAGATAATATACTGCTACTCATCGCCAAAAGATTAGCTAGACAGTGCTTACTGAAGTAACAAAATAACCTCGCCAACAATGGCGTTAAAAGATTTATGATCCTTTCTCCTCTTTCCACACCGAAACAGTTACCTGAGAAACGTAGCTAGTAGATAACCAATGCTGCGTTTCATTGCTGACTCAACTGTCGAATAACGTATGGGAGGATACCACCATGGTTGAAATAAGCCAACTCCACCTGTAGAAGGAAATCAAAGAGCCAATACAATGTTAAGAGACCTAATAGATGGCGAAAGGAGATCTCTACTGTAGAACATTTTACATTACAATATCTAACATACTACAACTTCAACGCACTACGCATGTGAAAGTCAATACCTCAGTGTCGAAGCGCACTATGCATGTGAAAGATTTTCCAGTGTCTGTTCGTACAGTAACATCTTGACCAGGGCGGATCTCGCTAATGTTGTCTGGGAGATCAATGGTATATCGCTCATGACCTGTCAATCCAAGAGAATCTGCATCCTCACCAGCCTTGAAACATAGAGGCACAATTCCCATTCCTACCAAGTTGCTACGGTGAATCCTCTCGAAGCTTTTAGCAATTACAGCTTTAACTCCCTATCAAACAGTTCTCTTGATTAGAAAATCCTATAGGAAAGAAACAGGAAGAAATCAACACAAATCCAAACAGAAGTGGTGAAAAAACCCACCAACAACATGGGGCCCTTAGCAGCCCAATCTCGGGAGCTTCCACTTCCGTATTCAGCTCCAGCCAAGATTATTGTGTCTTGCCCAGCAGACTTGTATTTCTAAAGTATCATGCATAAAAAAATGTTATAATCATAGAAAATCTCTGAAGTATCAACTACTCTGTTGCGAATTTTGAAATGCATTATGGGGACTATCTCAATGTCAACAGAATATGGAATAGAATGGCACAATAGAAATGTAAGCAAAAGGAAAGAGTAAAGTACCATTGCAGCATCAAACACAGAGAGCTTCTCTCCAGAGGGAATGTGAATTGTCTTTGGGCCAACTTCACCATTTAACAGCTTATTAACAATTCGGATGTTGGCAAAAGTACCCCTAGCCATAATTTCATCATTACCACGACGACTACCATATGAGTTGAAGTCCCTGCGATCAACCCCTCGCTCATTAAGGTACTTAGCAGCAGGGCTATCTTTGTGGATGCTTCCAGCTGGTGAAATGTGATCTGTGGTAATACTATCACCAAAGTTCAGCAAGCAGTAAGCATCCTTCACTCCATGGGGCCCTGGGGGATCCATGGTCATATCCTTGAAATATGGTGGCTCATGAATGTACGTAGAACTAGGTTCCCATGAGTAGAGCGAGGTAGCTGGTACTGACAATTGATTCCACATGTTATTCCCCTTTGTAATAGCTTCATACGTACTCTTGAACATGTCTGGCAATACACTTGATTGAACGACCTAAGGAAAGATCTCATTTTCAATTTACTCTTTTCTTCATCAATTGTAGGTGCACAAAGATAGACGATAGTTAACTAGATACCTCAGCAATTTCTTCAGTCGATGGCCAAATATCCCTGAAGAAGACATTCTTACCATCCTTCCCCACTCCAATTGGTTCTTTCTCAAAGTCTATATCAACCTGCAAATCATTTATAGTTTTCAGTCAGTGTCTCAGCAACATGGGCTGATGATTGCATATGATATACCCGTATGGTTTTTCGTGATCTTCTTAGATCTACAATGAAATCATGTGTGCAAACAATCATTCTAGAATCTGGAGTCTACCTTTTGAATTCCTTTTTTTAACAGATTTGTGCTGAAACTCAGCGGCTTGGGCCAAGCTGTGTCGGAATAAACTATTGATGGTCCAACTAATGAAAGATGCTCATGACAGGGACAGAAGCCAAGATCAATCAGTTAATAGAACACGCCAAAAGAGGGTTCTAAAGAGTAAATACCAAAATTGTTCACCTTCAAGGCTTTCGCTATACCCATTTGGTACCAAACTGTTACTTAAGTAGTTGCACTTAACACGAGTTTCCAATGATACCTAAACTATTTTACATTTCCATCTCTCTGCCAGCTTTCTCAAACATGTTTAACTTTGCCTTTGAGCAGATTTAATATTACTATAGACATCTAATTGTGAAAAATTGTTCCTGTATTTATGTTGCGAAATGGTTCGACCCGTTCAAAATAGAGGTGCGACATGTTATAACATGCTTCACGATGATATAAACTCACATTCCAAACTCAGCATGTCTAATTTGACTCTTATTCTGAGCCGGCATTTCTGATTATCATAGATTTTCATCTTATTTGTTCACTATTAGTATGTTTTTACTACCTTTTTCCCGCTATAATGCATATAATATATAGCAGAAGCAATTCCCAGGATAAATAAAATATGACTTGGTTCATTTACTTACAGTGCCAGCAAGAGCATAGGCAACCACTAAAGGAGGTGAAGCAAGGTAGTTTGCTCTCGTCAAAGGATGAACACGCCCCTCAAAGTTTCGATTTCCAGAGAGTACAGCAGCAGCAACGATGTCTACACATACAAGAATAAGTCAAATCACCTAAAAACAGACTAGACAATGCTACTCCTAAATACAAACGAACAAAAGGAGTTACCATTTTCTGATATAGCAGAAGAAACTGATTCATCCAAATCTCCAGAATTCCCAATACAAGTTGTGCAGCCATATCCAACAATATGAAAACCTTGCTCATTTAAATACTTCTGCAGCCCACTGTTTCATAACAAATACCACATTTCACAGAGTGTCAAGCACGCACAAGGATGGGATAAGTAGAAACTCCCTCGAGAAACTACAAATAATACCTCTGGAGCAAATATTTAGTAACTACGCCGGAGCCAGGAGCAAGACTTGTTTTCACCCATGGTTTAACCTGGATATCAACAGGATGACATTAGCAAAATACGAAGAAATCATTGAAGAAAAACAAGTATATATACCAGAACTGACATTTAGACCCAGGTCGCAAGCCTTTTTTGCAACAAGGGCTGCTCCTAGCATAACACTGGGATTTGATGTATTAGTGCAACTTGTGATAGCAGCAATAACAACACTTCCATGCTTGAGCTCTGCATCTTGTCCGTGGAAAGAAAATTTTACCACTTTTTCCTGCGCATCTTTCGGCACAGCAAATCCCTACAGTGAATAGAGCCAATTCAAATTAGCATTTCCGGAACTCAAAGGTTGACCTCATATTAGTTTGAGTTGCATGTTCATATATCACGAAGAGATTCAATGGTATTAAGTAGAAAAGAGTACTTGCTCACCTTGAATCCAACCTTGTTATCAAGGCAAGAGTGCCAATCAGACTTCATTTCTTTCAAAGGCACACGGTCATGAGGTCTATCAGGGAAAGTAAAAATATATATTAGAAAGTTCTTACAATGTTTCTCACATTCAATAGATTGTTTAACAAAGACATGAAACATACCTTTTTGGCCCTGACATACAAGGCTCAACTTCAGCAAGGTCTAGGTACAAACAAGAAGAGTACACTTTCTCATGTTGAGGCTGAAATCAGAATATGACAAGTTTTTTAGAATATTGTAAAGACAAAAAAAAGGACACAACCTTACAGATTGGTTCATTTTCTTTTTGACAGTGGGAAAAGAAGGATAGTGATATCTAGCCAAAATCTTTCATTTCTCCCTTCGAGAGATTCTCATACTTAAATAAGAGACACTCACAGCTGAGGGTAGCAAGGAAGACCAACCTCATTATAGTCGACGAACATATTATTTGCGCGCAGATATGCTTCGATCATTGACACCTAAAATTTTAGGAGTTAGAAAATATAAAACAATGTACATCTTATCTTCATGTGTGATGCTTACACGTGTCTAAGCACTTACTGTTTCGTCACTTCTCCCTGTTAATTTCAGATACTGCAAAGTAACATGATCTACAGGGAAGAAACCCATTGTAGCACCATATTCAGGAGACATGTTGGCAATGGTGGCCCTGTCAGCCAATGATAGTTCACCCATTCCATCACCTAAAAAAAGATAAACAAACAGTCAAGTTTTTCTCTGGTGAACCAATTTACCAATTTGAAATTATTATAGCAAGTAATTTGTCCAGTTTCCCCATATTTACCATAGAACTCAACAAACTTTCCAACAACACCATGCTTCCTCAGCATCTGAGTGACTGTCAAGACCAAGTCAGTGGCAGTTACACCACTGCGCAATTTCCCAGATAATTTGAACCCAACAACTCCAGGCAACACCATGCTCATAGGCTGGAAGTATCCAGAAAGTAGCATTAGAAAGAAAGACATTGAAATTTCAGTATAAATTCAGATGTTTTAGTATAATTACTTAAATTAGTAAGACACAACTGGACTTCCAGAATCGTATAACAAATTTAAAGAACCAAGCAATATGGTAGATCCACAGGGAGTTTCTGTTCTCTTACAGTCAAGGGGAATACATTGCCTGTAATTCAAAAGAAGTACACAAACACATGAATGCATCAGCCTCCATTAAAGCTTAATCAAAACTTTAGGAAGAGAGCTGAATACATCCATGTGAAAAAACATCCATGTAAAATTCCAAGTGCACTCACTTTCCACCTTTTTTCAAAGAGATAAAAATGTAGAATTATCATGTTGAGATGGAGCTAACTGTCCAATTCCATGTATAATTCTAAGTGAGCTCACTTACCACTTTTTTAAAGAAAGATGAAATGTCAAATTCCAGTTTTTGTGTGTGTATCATGAAAGATAAATTTCAGATAAAGGAATGTGGAAATTTCAGCACAAACCAAAATAAAAGGAGTTAGATTTGGATCAAGGAGTACATTGAAAAAAATTTAATTGAAAGAAGTAATATGAAGTCTATTGATAAGGCATTAAGGAAGCCTAACATCAAAATACATCACTAACTGAAGCACAGAACGAGAAAAGCACAGAAGACTATTCCAAGTTTCAGCATGATACAGAATCCCTTATGGCATTCATGGTTTCATACCTGACCAAGCATTGTAGCTTCTGCTTCAATACCTCCAACACCCCAGCCAGCAACTCCAAGCCCATCAATCATAGTGGTGTGTGAATCAGTTCCGACAACACTATCAGGATAGAGTAAACCTTCATTATTAAAGACGACTCTTCCAAGGTATTCAAGATTCACCTAATAAAATTGTGGGGCCAAAAAGCTAATCAGTTCCGGAATATCATATCCTTTCTGTTTTTTCAGAGGGGTAAATAGGGGTAGTAAATCCAGGAATATCAATGCATAGCCTCTACGGATTTTTTCAGAGGGGTAAATAGGGGTAGTAAATCCAGGAATATCAATGCATTGCCTCTACGGAAGAAAGATAATACAGTATAAAGAAAAGAAACTTGAAAAGAGCTACAGTCTAGCACATCTGTTACATTCAATATGCACAGCAGTACAACTGGTCCCTTTCAATTTTCAGGTACAATACCTGATGCACAATACCAGAACCTGGTGGAACAACAAGCATGTTGCGGAAAGCATTAGAACCCCACTTAAGAAAGGCGAACCTCTCCTTGTTCCTTTGGAATTCAAGTTCCATATTAGCTTGGACTGCATTTTCTGACCTTGCCACATCGACTTGAACTGAATGGTCAATTACTAGATCTACCGGCACCTGAAAATATACCCAATCAAAAAAAATAAAAATAAGATACATTACTGTGAAGTCGAAGAATCTATTCAAAGACCAGTAGAATAACTGATGATGAATCTTCACGATACAGAAAACCAATAGAAGAACAGTAAAAATGACCTCAATTTTTTTGTATGTAGATACCAATGACCTCAAACTTATAATAATTAGTGATAACTAAGTCCTTGATACATAAGCATTACAAACAAAATAAGAAGGAAGCGTTTCAATGATAATATATCCAAAATATAAAATCCATGGACTGCACTAATAAGGTGTCGTTGCTTTAAAATATTTAACAACTTGTTTTGGAAAAAGTTCCAACTTTTTTGCAGAAACTCTTTTCTAAACAAACACCAAGAAAACTAACTTCTCTTTCTTGGTGTTTGGTCGAAAAACAGTTCTTGCAAAATAAAATATTGGTTGAAAGTCCTCTTCAAAAATTTGAAAGAAACACCACCATAGTTGTTTCAACATTTACCATTAAAGGTGACTAACTACACCGTTTAAGAAATTTTGCCAACATCAGCTAAACTTAAAAGAAATGAATACCAATGGATTAATCTTGTCAGCATTGCTGCCAAGCTTGTTCATGGCATCGCGCATGCAAGCAAGGTCCACAACAGCTGGTACACCAGTAAAATCCTGACAAAAACAGTTAAGATGAAAGCTGTTACATCTCGAATTGCATTGTTTTTCTTTTTAATTTGGAGACATGACATACTTGCAGCAAAACTCGGGCTGGCTTAAACGGTATCTCCGCTAGCTTCGGCGAAGTATTTTCCCAGTCAATGATCTTCTCGACATCTTCCTTTTTGACTTGAAAATTGTCACAATTACGGATTGCTGATTCAAGAAGAATTCTGATAGAATATGGCAGCTTGTCTGTTACAATAATGAAATCAAGGAAAAGTCAAAAAATTGGAAATTAAAACTTACTAAGACGACAAAAAACTGTGATGAGCACTTCAACAATGAAAAATTCAAAAATCGTTAATATCAACCTGAAAAGGAAAATAAGAGATGGGAAAAAAAAGAGGACTTTGTGTAACTAAACATAGTGGTAGGGTGGAGGGGATTACGCGGTGGAAATAGAACCCTCACCAACAAGGTGAAAGTTTTGGTAGCCAATCAACTGAACTACTAAGATTCCCCGGAAGAAAGAGGACTTTGGAAGGGGTCTAACACCAAGCCTAGACAACATGCGGAAGGACTTAACCATCATTCTCGAATAAGAAACATGATATTCTAATTGACAAGATAAAGATCAACAAATTCAAGCAATGAAACATGTCATTAATTCACAACACAAATGAAAAGAGAGTAGTAGTACATATAACAAATATCAAAGGTCTGATGAAATTACCAATTCGGGGATCATTCAGAGCAGGTAGGCTATAGTACTTCCCGAATTCACCACCTCCAGGCTTGGGAAGACTGGTGAGGATGCCTTTAAATGGGTTCTCTGAAGCTGAATCCATTAACAAACAGTATCAGATTCTTGATTTTCTTTTGGGATCAAATGTCTAACAAGTCATTCACTGACAGCAGCTCTTGAAAGTTATCAGAAACAATATTAAATCATTTAAAGAAATATCCAAACAAAAAATACAAATGTATAAAGAACAAATATCTTGGGTCAATATCAACATCTATCATTCAATTTTCCACCTTAGTCTCATTGAAAAGTATATAAAATAAAAAAGAAATTATCTGGTCCACTTTTTTTCTATTTTGATAAGAGCCAAAAAGCTCAACTATTTCTAGCTTTTGGTGGATCCATCCCTCTATGATTCCATTCTACAGATCCTAGCTTTTTATTATCACAAGCCAAGTTCCACAGACTCTTCACTTTCGAATCTACACCCATGTCAGATTCTTCAAAAGTACTGTCTTTTGCGGAGAATCTGACACACACCCATTGACATTTTTAAAGAGTCCGAACAAAATAGATCACACCGATCCATTATATAAACCTTAACATCGAAAGACTTCATATTCACAAATCACAACAATCCAATTAATTTTTTTCAATAAGACCTTCTCACCCAACGCTTCACAAATCACAAACAACATTAATATAAATCTGAAAAAATAAAAAAATGTAACGTTTACAGCAAACCCAAAGAAAGCTTTTTTTTATTTTTTGTTGGTTTTACAAATTCAAATGAAAAACAGTGACAGTGAAGTGAAATGACAGAATTACCCATGGTAGTGAGTTTTCGATGGAAATTGTTGAGAACAGGGGTAACGGCGGCAGTTCTGATCTGAGCTTTAAGACTGATCGGAGATTTCCAATCAACACCGTAGCTCCACCGCGGCGATCGGAAAGTGGAAGAAAAACCCAAAGAAGAATACCCACTAGAGCAATAAGCACTAGAGGATTTAGATACCGAAAACGAAGAGAAAAAATTTGGTTTGATGTGAACAGAAGAAGAAACGTACATTACTGCATAAAGCCTTTATATATAGTACAATAATTCGGTAGACGAAATGGGTAGGTGGGTGGGGCAAATGGGTATTTTGGTGGGGTTGGTGGGGGGTTGTATGGGGTAGGGCGTGTGGAGGCGGCTTAAGGGTCGTGTGCTGTATAATTATTGAAGAAGAAAACAGAGCATTTTTTGCTGTAACAAAAATGGAAGAAATGAAGATGAAGATGATTGTGATTTTGAGGAAAAACAGAGTAAAGAACAGAATATCCTTTAGAATTTTGATGATTGAAACTTTTTCTTTAAGGAATTTGGGGCAAAAAATTATTGCTGAGAGATGATTATACAAGATATGATATGATGTATATGTATTTTACGAAGGGTATTTTTGTCTTTTTTCATCATCTATCCATTGGGAAGTTTAGATATTAGTAAGTAGTTTGATAAGGATAATTAAATTGACACGTCGGATTGGTGGTTGGTATAATATATGGTGCTTTATTGACTTGACATCACATGCATATGGAGGATATTGTTATTTTCATTTTTGAGTGAGCTGGATTGTAAAATATTTTATCATTGAATTCTCTTGATTGGAGGATATGTAGATCGAAAATTAGGATAGAAGATTAGTAGATCTTAAATATGGTGCCTTATTGCATTCGACTTTGCATGCAAATAGGTAATAATTTGTGTTGTGTCTATGATTAAAACGAGTTTATCGGTGGATATTATTGTTCTCATTCTTGAATGAGCTGGATTGCAAATTATTTTATTATCAAATTCTCTTGATTGGAAGATATAAAGATCGAAAATTAGGACAGATGATTATTAAGTAATTGAGTGATATTTAATTTTTCTTGTTAGTATTATGCTATTACTTTCTTACTATCTATTACATGTTATTTTCTTTTACTTTTATTATTGTACTAATTATTTATTATTATTACTATACATTTTTCATATTGTTGTTAAATATGTTACTTGAAGCAGAGGTTTATCAAAAATAATACTTCTATCTTTACAAAATAAAAATAAAATTACATACATATTATCTTTTTCAAATTTTACCTATGAAATTACATTAACTATTTAATTATTACTAATATTATTGATAAAAACTGACTCTAAAGAACCATGCACCATTTATATTTTATTTAAATTTTGTCATTGAAATTATTTTTTGCTTGGTATATAAATAAAAAAAATTATGTACCTGTTAATTGTAGATATAAATCGGAAACAAAAATAGTAAAATGTATTTATATATGCCTTTAATGTAAATAATGATTTTAGAGGGACTATTGCCACGGATTTAGACTTTTATTAATAGTTCGTGTGATACTTGTTTAAGTAATGTGGTGGGTCATGACACTATGCTTCAAATCTTATCCAAGTTGTGACATATAAAAAGTCTTTTCATCTTATCTATCTTGGACTCATTATTTCAAAAAAAAAATTTGAATTCATGAATCATTTTTCAAAGAGAAAATTTATCCATGCTTACTCGATAAATATTTGTACGATTCTTGTGGATTTTGAGTGTTTTAGAATTTAATCTCTCGTTAAGTATTTATGTAAAGATTGTTCACTTTCTCAAGCTTTTCTATCATACCCTTAGAATCTTTAAGAGTTGATATTATTAGTCGAGTTATATTTTGTCAATTCTTTAAATTTCAAAATCGTTTCCTGAAGTTGTTCTGTGTTTTAGTTAAGCCGGGTCAAGGCCCACGAGGCCCAAATTGAACTGACCCGGGTCCATCACAATGTCAAAGAAATTCCTATTTTTCCATTTTCTCAATGAAAATTAATATTCTTCACTCTCTGTATTTCACTCTCCTCTAGCGTATAAAGCAAGCTGAATTTTTCTCATACATACAACAATGGCGGAACCTAAAGTCAAATATGATCGTCAGCTCAGGTGAATTTTTGAGTATACTCTATGTTTTCTGCTTTCAGTTCTGTTATGAACGCCATCACTGAACGTGTAGCTCTTATATAGTTGGAGTAAATTCAAAATTTTAGTTGTAGAAATGAGAAAAAGCCTCTCTTTTATGTGATATGCTACGGTTGTGCGAAATTATACTGATGAAATATCAATTGAATGCAAGTCAGTTCCAAGCTAGTTGAGGTTGGGTTTATTTAGGGTCATTTTATTTTAATAGTGTGTAAAGTTGTGTTTTTGCGGAAGAAGTTTGGTTCTCTAAGTTTTCAGTGGTGAAAAAGTTTGGTATTTAAGTGGAAAAAGGCATGAGATGAATTATTAGTGGAAAGGCAAGGTTGGTTTTTTAATGTGTTAAGGGTGTGTTTGATAGGAAGGAAAATGCTTTCTTGGAAAAAAATGTTTTTTTTTTTACTTATCTTTCAGTGTTTGGTAAGTAAGGAAAAAAAATATTATCCTAAGAGTATTTATATGTAATCTACCAATACAATATGGGAGTGATATGAGATGGGAAATAGGGGTGGCGGGGAGGAGGCGTTGGGTAGGTGGGGTGGAGACAATGAACTTGGAATGTCACTTATGGAGTTTGTTTTCCTACTTTTATTAGGGAAGTCATTTTCTTCATTTTAAAGGAATTTCCTAGAGAAAATGTTTTCCAAAACATTTTGACCAACCAAACATGGGAAGATTAAAATATATATTTTGGAACATGTTTCCTCCCTACCAAACATACCCTACCTACTACATGATTTTGCTTGATATTAGAGGAGAGAAAGGTCTTGGATTCAAGTTTAACTACCTTTTATCAATAAATGTCTTCACATACTTGGCCAAGAAAAAGAGTAGGATCCATTCATAATAGGAAATGTTTCAAATTTAAAATAAATAAATATAAGTGTACTTTTTCTAATAGTTTAAACTTTTACATTAGGAAGTTCACACGATTCAACAGATGGTAACTTTTCCCCATCAAGTTGCTTTGATTTTTTTAGTGCTAACCAATGGCTAATGTTGGCTGCATTCGATTGCTTCCGTCTGGAAAGAACCTCGGAGAACTTCTTGGCTATACGTTTGGATACAAAAAAGGTTTTTTTTTTTGAAATAGGTAACTTTGTATTCACACAAAAGACCTCATCAAAATCGATGAGGTGGGATTTACAAACCCCCAGGGGGTGCCATCATACTCAAATCCAAAAAGACAAAACTAACTTTACAATTGGCTTTTAAACTCCACAAGGCTATCTACTTCCCCCACTAAATTTTGCTTACACCAAAAATACAAAAGACTAAGGCATTTCATCTTGATCTCCTCTGGGCTGCTAACCTTTCCTTCAAAACATCTCCCATTCCTTTCCTTCCATAGTGTCCACCATATGCAAGCAGGGATATTTTTCCACCAGTCTTCTTTTGATCCTCTTTTTCCGATTCCTTGCCAGTGTGTTAGGACCTCAAAAGTGGTTCTGGGCATTGTCCAGTTAACCCTGAGTATACAAACGAACATGTTCCACAGATCTGTAGCTTTCTTGCAATGCAGAAACAAATGACCATTTACTTCAGCCTTCTGTCCGCACATGTAGCACTTTGAGCAGATCTGTATACCTCTTCTTTGTAGCACTTCATGGGTGAGACAAGCTCTTCTAATTACCAACCAAGTGAAACATGCAACTTTTAAAGGAACCTTAATTTTCCAGATTAATTTCCAAGGCCAAACTGTTGTCAGGAGATGATTGGTATTCCTCTCCCAATAGCATGATTTAACTGTAAAAACCCCTCTGCTATGCAGTCTCCAAACTGGTTTGTCCGGCTCTGTGACATTGCCTGGAAACAAGTTTAAAACATGCAGTAGGTCTTCTACTCTTCCAACCTCCCAATCATTTAGAGCCCTTTTGAACATAAGGTCCCAACCTTGAGGGGTCCACATTTGCGCTATAGTGTCATTCTGCTGTAGACTGATAATGTACAGATCGGGAAAAAGTATCCTCAGATTTACGTCACCTAACCAGGTCTCGTTCCAGAAACTGGTCTTCAAACCATTCCCCACTCTGAAGGTCACCTTTGCACTGAAATCAGGCCACATCCTCCTGATGGTTTTCCATACAGAGCACCCAAAAGTGCCATTCACCTCTTCAGTTATCCAGTTGCTTTGTAGGTCATATTTCTCTGCAATAAACCTCTTCCATAATGCCATATCTTCACAACAGAATCTCCACAACCATTTTTGCAGCAGGTTAGTGTTCTGAGTACTCAATTTCTTAATGCCCAGACCTCCTTGTGCTTTGCTCATTGTCACCTCTTCCCATTTAACCTGGTTGTATCCTTGCTTCTCTTTATTTCCTTGCCAGAGGAAGACCCTTCTCAGCTTGTTGAGTTTCTTTCCAATACTTTTTGGTAGTGGGAAAAGACTTAGCATATAAGTCGGAAGTGCATCCAGAACTGATTTTATGAGAGTCAATCTACCTCCCAGGGATATATATTGACTCTTCCACCTTGTCAGCTTCCTTTCACTTCTCTCCAGAACTTCACTCCATACTTCCAATTTTTTGTTCTTGGCGCCCAAGGGCATCCCCAGGTATTTGGTGGGAAGAGAAGCTACTTGGCAGCCCAGGTTGTCGGCAAGGCCTTGCATGTCATTTACTTGATTAACTGGGAACAAACAACTCTTCTGCCAGTTTACATGTAGTCCTGATATGCCTTCAAAAATGGTTAGTATTGCCCTCAAATGTCTAATTTGCGACACTTCTGCACCACAAAACACTAAAGAGTCGTCCGCATAGAGAAGGTGTGTGACCTCCATATTATTGGCTCTGTTTGTGTGTGCACCAAAACCTCTTATCCACCCCATTTCATTAGCCTTTCTGACCATGTAGTTGAGTCCCTCCATTGCTAGGAGAAATAAGAAAGGAGACATGGGATCTCCTTGTCTCAATCCCCTTTGTGATTGAAAAAAACCTTCAGGACTCCCATTTGTAATGATTGAGAACTTCACTGTTGACACGCAAAACTTGATCCAATTCACCCATTTCCTCCCAAACCCCATTTCACTCAGA